AGGAAACTGGTTTGCCCATTTAGAAGAGTCTAGACTACACTTTGTGTCATACCATTTAACAAGTGGATTTTCCTGGCTATGAAACAAAATAAGAAAAGACATGACCAACAATCATGAGACATGGTACAGTGCAAGGTGTTCCTGCCTATAGCAGGGCGGTTGGAACCAGATGATCTTAAGGTGCTTTCCAACCCTACCTATTCTATGATTCTGTGAGTGTTTTCCTGGGAATGACCTGGCTCTAATGACTAGACTTCAAGTTACTGGCATCACTATGTTCTTCATCATTATGTTTTCCATCACTGTGTTTTAGGTTTTGGTATCTGAGCTCAAGATGATTTTTTTTAAACCTAGGCAGAATCCACTCCGTCAAGTATTGAAATTCACAAAAAGCCACAATGACTTCAGGTCTGAAATTGTAGCAGTCTCTTCAAAGCCCCAGTGAACCCACATTCAAGCTACAGAACTCTATAAACCCAACCCCTGACATCAGCTAACCCAGTGCTGAACATCAGTTTTGAATTGCAGATTGCTCTGTAACACTATTTACAATGCAATGCTTCCTTTCAGAAAGCTTTCCCTTACAGAGATTAAGGTGTTCACATAGTATCTTATTTAATGCATATCGAGGAGTGCCAGACTTCTGAGATTAGAAGGTATAAAACATAAAGAAGCTGAAGAACATAATTAGCTTGTGTGTGAAGTTATTTCCTCTAAAAGCATGAAGAAAACCCAGACATTTAATTTCTACTTTCACATTTTATTAAAAAATACTTACTACAACAGACTTTCTCTGAAAATTTATGTTGTTGATACAAACTACCTGGTGAGTTGTGCTGGAAAAAAAAAAAGAAAAAAATTAAAATAAGTTAAGTTTTACACAAATGAAAACATTTAAAATAACATTTTAATCCTTTTTTTTTTAATAGAAAGCTCATACAGGATGTATGTACATATAGATAAATACTGTGTACAGCATGTACTTCATAGAATCACAGAATGGTTTGGATTGGCTCTATAAGTATTCATAACTGTCTAAATCTCTTACATGGTCCAAAATAAATAATGAATGGAAGCTGCACATAAGGTCAGAAAAGTTTCAGTAAAATCAAATATAGCATCACACCAAGATTCTAATGATACCAGAAGATAACAACATCACTTTTGAACATTATCTACTAGTATGTAAAAATCTTGTATTACTAAAGGCACAGAATCAAGTTCTAACACTTTACTGACGTGCAGTACTACAATTTGCAAGCAGCTATAACGTCTGCAATGAGACACCTATGGAAAATTTAGCTGGTGAATTGATTCTCACATCATTTATGTAAGCAGGTACTATACATGAAACAATGCAGTATAGGCTTTTACAATTTCGTATCATAAGAATTTTTTACTTTAAATAATGGCTATATATTAACTAAGATAGGTATTTTAAACAAATCAAATGTATTTGCTTAGATTTTGAATGACGTATTAGAACTCCTGGTAAATAAAACTCAGTTTTAACAAATGAAGATAAAGTAGTAATTCTAACTTTTATAAACCTCTGGAAGTTATTTTTCTGTCTTTTCTGTAGTAGGTGGCATTTTCACTACATTTTGCCGTCATGTTATTCATGACTAAAGATACAACCTTGTCATAATTCAATTTTCATGCCACCATCTCACACTATATGCACATAATCATGTAACCTGTGCATTAAAAATTGACTTTGCTTCAGCTAGGCAAGTTCAATAAAAATTCCTACAAGAGAATGATAACATCTAGCATCCAAGATGGATTCAGACATTACCTACATGCTAATATGTATCTGAGAACAAGACTGATTCTATTTACAAATTACCCTGTGTTACAGATTTCTAAAGAAATCAAGGAGTCATAAACAGAAATACATAAATACCCATTGAAACCCCCAACCAACTGCTTTAGAGTTTGGTTACAACCAAAACAATCCATGTGCAAAAATGACAATTTGCTTAACAAGGCTGCTTGTTGCAAACGCAAGCATTTTTTACAAATAATTATACAAACCCTTAAGTCAAAAGGGTTTGACAGAGCAGCAGGGATGAGACACAGCAGCATGGTCTGTAGTACTGACAATGTGTGGAAATCTCTAAGGTTTGGAGAGCACAGTGTACATATCTTTATGAGACTGCATGGTTGACAGACTCACCATCCATGCGCAAGTCCATTTACATAAAACATAGACTTACAACACACATTTTCTGAATGCAAGCTATATCATAAGCAGCAGTTCCAACCTTCTCAGGTAAACAGTTACAGCTCAGCCTGTGGCCTGTTTCAATGTGCACTGGTCTCAAGTATAGCAACTTAAAAATAAAATAATAAATGGATACTTATAATTTATAAGGTCTTGGGCTCTCAAATCCTTTGTCTCCTTTCTTCCTATTCATCCTGAACAGCAGCACTAGGCACACACTGCTGACCGTCAGAATGGCATCAGCATCATCCTCGATCGATGTGTCCTTTGATTTTCCCCTGTGTCAAGTTGTACTTCATCACTCATTTAGCCAGTGGATCTGTGGCTCTCACCAGTCAGGCATTTTCAGCTCGGATTAGCACCATAGTTACAGCACAAACGACATGCAGTTTTCTGTGTTAACCTTTTACGAGAGCAGAACGCTACCCCTCCACTGGGGGTACGGTACCAGTCCAGCAGCGCTGCGTGCTCCCTTTCCGGAGAGACTATGATAAATAACCGGCTCAACGGGCAGCGGAGGTGGGAGTTACTCGGTCAGGAAGGCCGCGGCTGGACAGGCACGGCCAAGGGGTCCCCGATCCGGGACAGCCGGCTGAGGCCGCACCCTCCGCTGGCAGGCGGGGCGGGGGAGCGACTGTGGAATGACTGGGAAGCGCAGGCTGCGCAGCAAAGCCCACCGCGTACCGGCCTTATCGTCGCTGCGGGCGGCGGCTGTGCCGGCGGCTCCCACGGCTCAGCTCGGTGCAGTACGGTACACGCGGTGCGGTGCGGTGCGGTATGGTACGGTACGGTGCGGGACGGGCAGGGACCGGCCAGCATGGAGGGCGGGAGCAGCGTACCGGCGCGGCGCGAGGTTGCGCCTCAGTAACGCTCCCGCCCGGCCTCGCCGGCGGGCTCTCTCTCACAGGCGGTCGCCATCTTGTGGGCAACCTTTGACCCCTAGGAGTTGAAAGGTTACAGCCCGTTTAAAGGAGCTTTAGTTCTTTAAGAACAAGAAACGTTTTGGATCCGTGTTTTCCGGACGGATGGAATATCGGTGGCACAGGCAGTCGCCGGGGAAATTAGAAATAAAGAAGAAAATGCCCTCGCAAAATAGCGAAGTCTCCCGGGGACGGGTCATGTCGCTATGCGCATGCGCGCTGAGCGCCTCCAGCGCAGGGGCGGTAGGCGCAGGGCACGGTGCGCATGCGCAGGCCTTGCCTGGGGAGAGGCGGGATCTCGGCTGAGGATGGCGGAAGGGTGGGTGGGGGATGCCCAGCAGGCGGTGTGAGGGGTTGGGGGCCGGCAATCGGCAGTTCTCCTCTCGGTCACCCTCCGGGGTCCCTCTCAGGTGCAGCAGTGCCCCAGCCCTCTCCGACGGTTGTGCCTGTAAAGCTGCTGTGGACCGGGTGCTTCCGCCAGGCTTGCGTCTGGGCCCTCTGCCGACGGTTTAAACGTGGGGAACCCTCCGCCTGCGGATCCCAGGGTAGAGCTGTGGTCACCGACACTCGGATCTTCCTTAGCGCACACATAATTAGGAGCTGGGCTCGCACCCAACGCGGGCGCACGCGAGGATACTACGACACATTGTACGATACATATGCACGCATCTTATGATACGGTTCCACAACCTCCTTCAAGAGACACGATCATGTTACGGGCCTGTGCAGTCGCCTGTGCGCTGGGTGGGGAACAGGCTGACCAGCCACACCAAGAGGTGGGGGTGAATTTCTCCTTGTCTAGCCGATTATTTACTAGGGGACCAGGGACCAGTATTGGGCCCAACACAGTTTAATATTCTCATAAATTGTCTGGAAGATGGGATCAACTGTACCCATGGTTGCCTAAAGTTCAGCAACCATGAATGAAGTATGGAAGTAGACACTTCCAAAGAATGAGCAGGATAGGCTGGAAGAGTGGGCCAATGGAACCTCAATAAGTTCAGCAAGGACAAGCATAAGGTCATGCCCCTCAGTGTCTCCCCTCACCCTGCACTACCTATGATAACAGCTCCAAAGCTTTTGATGAACCTTACATGTAACTTCGATACAGCAAGTGCTTTTTGTATACAAGCCCTCTACAATTAGTAAGTTCTTTAAAAATACATAAAAAATGTCTTAATATTAAACTCTGGTTCACTGACATGTAAACAATCCGTTTAATGATTACAATGCACTCCACATAATGACAGTATCATAAAAAAAAATAATCCTATTTGATTACTTTACACAGCAATATTCCACCCTAAATTTTCAAGGCACATTTTCTATATGCAGTTATTTGTCACAGAAAAGTGAAAAATCCTATTACAAAGTTTTTTAAGTTCTCTTTAAAAAGCAAAGGTACTCTTCTGTAAAACTAATTTTACCTCAGGTACATTCTAATGGCAGTTCAGAGGAAGCTCATAACAAGATGTCCAACTGTTCACTCATACCTTCACTTCATTGCAATTTGGTTTTTTGCAATACATAAAAGGCAACTTGGCAAGTGTTAAAGTACCAATAGTTTGTGCCAATGTTATTCACAGACATGACCATAAAAAGAACCACCTTCCAAAATTAAGATAAGTGCAGTGGCAGGAATAATTTATTCACAAGCTTGTCAAGGTCTGCAGTATTCAACATGTCAACACTGATACGCAATCTTAATCTTTAGGAATGCTGACTAATGGGCAAAAGGCTAAACATTCTGTTTTGCCTTTGAAATCAACTGATTCAATTATCATCAAGGATGTTTTAATTTTTAGTGTCAGACTTCAGTTTATGGATATTTCTATGATTCTATGATAGACAACTGAAGTATATGTAAGTAGTTCAACTCCTGGCACAACTACAGACAGAAAGGAAACAGAAGGGGAAACAAGGGAAGGAGAGGGCAAAGGCTGCTGACACTGTAGTTTCTTAGAAGAGGCAAATGTCCTTGCATTCTACTCAGCTGAGCAGAACGCAGAATTCATTCAAGAAGCTTAGCAGCTTAAACTCAAGAACATTGTATGATACTGGTTGACAACTCCTTTCCTAAGAAGGTAACAAGTAACATTTGCTGTTACTCCATTCAGTATTCTCAGTTCTTAAAACAGTACTTGTTAGGAGATGGGTCTTCTAGAATTATAAACTTTAACACCATTCTGCATTGAGCAGCGAGCATATTTTGTCAGAAGAACCCCAGTGGTCTGCTTCTCTGCACACAAGTCTCTATAGAGGAAATAAAGCAGATGACACTGGTGTTAGAGATACTCTCATACAAAATGAATCCATGAAATACTTGTAAATATAGCAATAAACTGGATCAGGATATTGGGAGAAAAAACAACAAAAAAACCACAAAACTGTAACTGTCACATAATGCTTTAAATTACCTTAAGTTTAGAACTTGGATTTGATATTTAAGTGAGTGGCAAAACTACATTATTTACTCCAGAAACAAGGATTTTGGTTTTTACAGGGAGTTAGTTGGTTTTTATTATTACTGTTCTCTAAAGGTTTTCAATCTAGCAAAACAGTTAGCTTTGAATTACTTAATTAAAGTAAATTTAGAGACACTCAGACACTGATGCAGTTACTTCTGGGTTCCCATCTAGATCAGCTCGTGTATCCTGGCTGAGTATTCCAGGCAGCACTGGAATGTGAGTGTTAAAGAAGGAAGGACACAGATGGGAAGCATATATAGTTCTCGTGTCGTAAATCTGGAAACTGTTTACAGATGTCAGAAGGTTCATCCTTTGAGTTAAGTATGCTTCAATCAATAGGCTCTGCCTCCAACAGTAGAATCACCTTTTTACGCAAGTTTCAATCCAACAAATATACCTACAGTTCCCACAGGTAGGGATTCCACTCATACAGAATCCATAGTCATTTACAATGGGAAGTATAGTATCTGGGGCAATCATAGCTAATAAGTCAGCTATGCAAAAGGGGAAGAATGTAACACTACTTTTAATAAATATATCCTATGATTCTATGATCCTTACTGTATATAAGGGGTAATATCCGGTTCTGTCCACTTTTCCCGTATGCTGAATAAGCTGTTGAATCTTTCCTGATTTCCTTCAGGTAAGTCTTCTACTTTTAGCAGAAAGATGGTCTCTGGTCTTGAGCTTCTATCCACAAGAGCCAAGCCCTGTAGATCAGCATCAGAGAGGAAATGTTAAGGCAAAACAATTAAAATTCCTTCTTCCTGGCAATAATCTGTACAAGTTGCCCTTAAATATCCAAAGCCTTCTAAAACTGCACTATGAAAGGCAAAGTGAAAAAGTATCATAAAGGTGCTGTTCTACAGGCAGTGTTTATCACTTCCTATATGACAAGAAGGGAAGGCAAAATCCACTGAGTTCCAACACCTCTTTGCCTCCTCAAGCAAAAGGATTTTCAGAGTGCTTGCTACTCTGCTGGCTGCCACTCCGGTCTGCCCCAGAACATCTTCAGTTTCTCTTCTAGTTACATTTACAGATAACAACAGCTGGAACTTTTCTCAAAACAGTGAAACATGCCAGACTCACAGAAAACTAAGTTGTCCTGATTCAAGACCACTGGCGCTCATGGAGCATGTGTATAAGTACTTTAATTCAAAAGCTGATACATCAGCAACCATTAATTGATAAAATGTATGTATGACACAAGGCAGGTAACAGGCTACTTGTGAAAGAATCCATACTTCTTCATGTTTTTACCTGAAGCTGATCAAGCCTTGTTGTCATCCCTTCAGGGACACTTTGTTGCCAGACTTCTTGAAACTCTGATAAATTGAATTTAACCGCATTTTGCAAAAGCATTTGTGCTATGGCTCTGCATATTTTATCTTCATGCATCTCAAAGTAAACTTCCCCTGCTGAGAAGCAAAAAACAGGTTATCTTGGGTTCTTGCTTTTTGATAAAAGAACAGAGTACAGCCTTGTGGTTCCATTCTGCTCTACAGTCTTCCACAAGCCAAGTACTCTGGTTTTGATTTTCCTCAGGGAGAATCTGACTTGGTATTACTTTGGACAAATTATGGTATCTTCTCATTCTCAAGTGCAAAATATTCTGTGTGTGTGCAGCACTGCCTCAGCTACAAGTATTAATTCATGTCAATAAATGTATCTGCCCTCCAATCTTTTCACTTTGCACAGTAACACTTTTTCTTGCATCTTTCATTCCTATTTCAGAACGGCTTGTATTAAAAGTGCTTGCTGCCTGCGGTTGAACAATTCAACAAAATTTTCATGTCCTTTATCACCTTTAAATTATCATTATTCCCTTCATCAACTTATTGTATTTTGTTTCACACTGACTTGACTAAAATTCTCTGACCAGTGTCAGGTGTAAACACTTCCTCTGACTTTTTCAGCCATCTTAACTTCCTGCAAACTTGTTTCTTGTACAACCTATCTGAATATACCAAGATTATAATTTGTGTCACTCCAACTACTTTCTTTTCTCTTGAAAAGTTGAGTGCAACTCCTACTATAGCCAAAGGCGAGCTGAAAGCAACTGTGGGGAAGAATTCAGATTAAGGCACAGAAATATTCTGTCTATATGTGAAATGGGCAATGGAGATTTAATCAATACAATCAGTGGGTCTTGTGGTGCAGTTCAAGGAACCAAAGGCAGATGTCTACTTCAGGCAGGCTGAATTCAGGGAGATCCATGTGCCATTCACTATTTACAATAGCACAATTGCTATTTGTTTAATTGCTTAAATATCTGAGACCTCTTACAGGAGATTCCACCTAAATTTTACTGGTCATCTGTGTTTAATCATAATATTATGGTTTGTAGAGACCTAATAAATGACTCCCAGTACTGTTAGTTCCTGATTTTTCCCCAGTGTCTCATACAGTGTAATAGCCCTTTTTCCTATGAAAATTTACATAACCTTTTTACTCTGTTTCAGCTCACTGTTTATTCCCTCCTTTAGTAACACTGCAGCAAATTCATTTGTTTGGGCCATCCCTAGGATCTGCATTTGCTCATCAATACCTATTTTCTTTATGCAAAATTAAAATACACACACTTTCCCAAACTTACCATGGTCAAAATATTTCCTTCCATAGCTTAGAAGAATGTGTTCTATCATCTCTCTGGGAAGAAAAAAAAAATAAAAAAATCAGAAATTAAGTTTTAAAACTGTTTATTAGACACTACAGAAACAGTTACCAAGAAAATGAAGGAACAGGTATTGGGGGGGGGGGGGGGTGTCAAGGAGAACTGAGGATGTGACATCTTCATGCCTGAAATGAACAAATTCCCAAAAACTTAGAAGTAAAAGGGGACAAAAAGTACAGATAGAAGTTAATTCTGTGTTCTGTCGTCAAAGGTCTCTTCCACTTTCTAGTTTTAAGTAACAGAGACTAAAAGGCACAAGGAGAATAAGGAAGAGTGACTCTTGCAAAGTCACTTCTTTGCAAATAGAATTGTTTCAGAAGTAGTGTGGCCAGCAGAGTGATGCCACACCTCAAATCCTGTGTTCAGTTCTGGGTCCCTCACTACAAGAGAGACATTGCGGTGCTGGAGCAAGTCAAGAGAAGGGCAGTGAAGCTGGTGAAGGGTCTGGAGCACAAGCGTGATGAGGAACGGCTGAGGGAACTGGGGTTGTTTAGTCTGGAAAAGAGAAGACTCAGGGGAGACTATCACTTCTACAACTACCTGAAAGGAGGTTGTCGTGAGGTGGAGGTCAGTCTCTTTTTCCCAAGTAAAAAGCAATAGAACAGGAGGAAATGACTTTAAGTTGTGCCAGGAGAGGTTTAGACTGGATATTAGTATTATTTTTTTTTTTCACCAGAGGTGTTATCAAGCATTGGAACAGGCTGCCCAGGGCAGTGATGGAGTCACCATCCCTGGAGGTATTTAAAAAAAAAAAAAAAGGGCAAATGTGTCCCTTAGGAACATGGCTTAGTGGTGGACTTGGCACTGCTCAGTTAACCATTGGACTTGACGATCTTAAAGGTCTTTTCCAACCTAAACTATTTTGTGATTCTATGGCAAGTCACAAATTTGGCAGTTAATTATCACTTACTGAATAGTAGGCATTTTTCTAGAACTCTTGCATAACATTAGAGCATAACTGCAGACACTAATACTAAAGCAAGATTTCTTTTTGAGCCAAAAGCCAAATAAATAGCAAACGCTACATACTGCAAACTTTAAGCTTTCTTTGAATGGTAATCTTCAATTATTTCATTACTTCAAACAGCAGTACAATAAATTCATCTCTTACAGTCTGGATTTACTACACCAGAAAACATGCCACATTTCATATGTTATACGAGAAGTAAACTAAACCTTTTTGGCTAGCTATAGCTTCAGAACAAGTATTTCAAGATGGCCAGCAATTTACAGCTGAAGTACATGCTACTTCCGTAATTTATAATTCAGCAGTGATGTTTCTACTACTAATCAGTGGAAATATTACCAATAGACACTACAGTCAGTTTAGTAACCTGTCTGTCTAAGCTACTAATGGCCTTGTATATTTTAGAGGCAAAGAAAAATGTATCATTAATACCATGGTAACTGGAATCTACAGTTGTAAGATCATAATTCTAAGAAACAGTAATTATTGTAATTAATTAATAATGATTGTAAACGATTTTAAGTACTAAATGTAAAGGCTTACTTGGGCTCTAGAGATCCAAGTTCCTCCAGGCAGGTATGTAAAGGAACCTTCTTTAAAGACCAGGACTCTGAGTCTATTAGCTGAATCACATGATTCAGGAGTTTCATCTCATAGTCAAATTCCAGAATTCTCCAATATCCTGCCAAATATAAAATCAGAAATCAAGACTTAGGAGAACATTAATACCTTAATTCTATTTCCCTGTACATGCATTACAGGAGTCTGGACATTTAGATCACACCTTTACAAAGTACAGCAGCAACATTCTGTTCTTTTCAGGATTAAAACTTGGAAACAGAACAGAATAGTAAAAGCAGTTGTAAAGGAGAAAGAAGTTAAATAATCTCTATTATTCATAACTGTTTATGTAGATTAACTGTTACAAATACAAAGACACTATAAATTCCATACAAAGATGAATCAGACCTGGAAAAAAATAGTAATTCATTCAGGCATAGAACTGTATGAAAGGAAGCTGCACTGGCCCTGAAAAGTGACAGCTCAGGTCCAGCCTAGTACACAGAAAACCAGATGCAACAAAGCACAGATGAGGTATAACGGTGTTGTGCAGCTGTACATGACAAGGAAAGGCATCCATGAGATCCTCACCTACCTAATGGGACAATACAAAGACAACTGACCAGAGGTCTTTCCAGTGGTGCTCACTGATGGGACAGGAGGAAAAAAGCACCAGCTGCAACAAGGGAAATCCCAGCTAGTTATTTCCTTGCAGAGGGTCTAACACAGGAACAGCTTGGACAAAGCTGTCCATACTTGGAAATACTCAGAACAGAACCAGCCAAGGTTACATGCAGCCATGCCATAAAGCAGGGGTTTGGACCTGGTAACCTCCAGAGCTCAGTTCTGCCCTAGATTATTCTGTGACTCCAGGACTACTGTCACCTTATGTCCAAGTAAGGGTTTGGATTTGGCCAAGTAAAGGATGAGTAGGACCTGTCCCAAAGTGAGACACTCGCTCTAGTCTTGCCTCACATGGTAGGAAGACCTCAGAGGTAAAACCCAGTCTGGGATGAAGAGCAAGCTATGAAAGGGCTAGGGTTACCTAAGGATTAGCTATTTTTAGCTCTGTAACTGCAGACACTCTAGAACTCTTCATCCATGAAGAGGGCAGGCAGCCAAAAAAATATTCATGCTATGTGTGGGATATTCTGATAGCTGTGTTTGTAGCAGTATAGAAGGAATTATCCTGGGAATAGCCAGACTGGTCAGTGCCTGCTTGGTTTTAGCCTTTAGATCAGCTTCATAGCAGCAGAGAACATAGGAACTACAGAAGCAGACCTTGGTGCTTTGAAGTGACTTGCACCTTGAAAGACGAGGATGTAAAATGGGCCTTAGAAAAAGAAGACACGTATTTTGGGAAAAAAAAGCAGGGTTGGTTCCTCATAAGCAATAATATTCTTTAAAATAATACCTTCAATTTTGCAGGCATCTATCACCTGCAAATGGTGCAGTATTTCTTCTTTGCTTGCTTGAATCAGACTTAACAAATCTTCTGTTGTATACTGCAGTAAGAGGAAATAAAAGAAATAAACACGTTATCCTTACTCCTCCTTTGCTTCAGCAAAGCATGCTAAATGTATTGTAAGATATAATGAAGAGTAATGTTCCCCTCCCGGCATACTCAGAGTTTTGTAAGGTTTGCCACACTATGAAACCTCTCCTGTAACTTACATTTTCTCAAAGAGTTATGCAATATAAAAGCCAGTCTAACTACAGGGAAGTCTTCATGCCATGCACAGGTAATACACTTGTATTCCCAGGATGTCAAACTAGCACAAGTAGGCATCTTAAGGTATACCAGGAAGAATGAAAAGTAAATGTGTTCCATCTTTCCTAAATCACTTATTTTAACCTGTGAGATTCAAAGAAAAGGCAAACCAAAAAGCACTCATCCCTTTTGGACAGATGTCAGAACTCCACCTTAGTACCTCCACTGAGGGAAAGACTCCTCCAGCACGATCTCAACAGATACGTGTTTTGGTGTCTGGTAACCAATTAGACATGTAGTACAGCCCTAGCCACAACATACACAGCTTCTTGAAGAACAGTTACTTGGAGAGATGAGTACTTGGACAGATGATAGGATGCTGTAGATACTGTCTGGGGTAAAGTTCTAGGAGATACAGGAGGAATAGAAGGTATCATGAGGAATGAAGTATAAGGAAAGAACAGACTTAAATGCATAGGAAACAGGGCTTCATAATTTTTTTTATTCACCTTATAGCCTTTTTAGTCAACTTCAATATTAAAGTTTTGTTGATTATACTGTTAAGAATAGTTCTATCAGAACAGAAAAAATAAGAGTGAAGTACCTGAGATCCATTAGACTATGGGAACACAAATGGAAGAAATCAATACTAATTTTGGAACAGCCACATGTTAAAAAATAAATATTAATAAATACAGAAAGGTCTGCTTTTTTGCAGTACCATTCCTATTAAACATCATCAGGCTAAGCAGCACTGAATTCACAAGAGTATTTCAGCATGGGATGACCATATTGTACAGTACTGAAACACTGCTAGTAATTGAGACTAAACATATCCCAAGAGTCATTTGTTTTCAAATAACCAGTGGCAAGATAAGAATTGTCTATATGTATCAGCTATATCTAGTTTTCTCCAATAAGCTGATATAGAAAATACATTCTCCTTCAAAACAGAGAAGAATGGTCCTCAAACTAGGCACTAATGTCTGGTGAGACACTGCCATGTTTGTATAATAGTTGTTCAGTATTAGCAATAAATATTGTTCCACATGACTTCCCCCCTGCCATTGCTACCACTATAAGCCCTTTTCCCTCTGCCATCCCCTATTCTGTTGTATGTCCCTCTACACCTAGACCAGAGTAGATGGGAGAAAGCAGTGCTGAGGGAAAAAGATTCTGAAACTGTTCAAAAATTAGTCTGTTAATAGTCCAGGAAAAGAGTGGAAGCATTTCTCCCCAAGGGAGAAAAGTAACATCTATGTTTGTACATCCAAGCACAGATGGTTTGTTGGTATCAGCTTCAACCAAGCCTCAACATAAAATACTTTGGAGCAACCAATTCTGGTTTTAAAGTCAAAACTAACAAAACACCAGGATTTTTATCAGCCTTTTATCTGAGATCACACACTGCACAGTCCAGGACTCTCCATTACTCTTTAGATCCTAAACTGAATTTCCTGGAAACAGAAAAGGGCAGCAGGACAGGATTTGTGTTTTCCTTTCTTGTAGCGTCAGTCTTATTCTCTGCCACATGCCATCCTTATCATGCATCTCCTTGCATGTAGTATGCAACTCCTTGCTTCTCCTTCACATCCTGAATTACTGACTGGCAGATGATTTGCACATGGGTGTTTTCCTTTCTTGTCAGTCTTACTCTCTGCCACATATCACCCTTATCATGCATCTCCTTGCATCTAGTATGCAATTCCTTGCTTCTCCTTCGCATCATCAATTACTGATTGGCAAATGGGTGTCCTCCACCCTCATATATGACACATCATACATTCACACCCGAAGAAGGAAAGACTACATTACACCTTAGTGCCTATATAACTTTCAAGGAATTTAGAAAAGGTTCTGGAGACTGTCTTCAAGAAACTTCCCAATTGAAGAGGGAAATCCCCAGTCTCTTTCAGTGTCCTTCCTTTTCCTCTCTTTGCTAAAACGCCAAAAAGGTTGCTTACCTGCCACTTAGCAGAAGTGCTAATAATCACCAATTTGTATAGGCTTAAAAAAATTAACTCAAAGCAGCACTGTGAAACATGGGAGGAAAGGCATTTTTCTAGTTAAGAATACATCTTCACTTTAATTTGGCCATTAACAATTACATGAAGGTAATTCACGTAGCTGACTGACCTTTGAAAATGTCGAAGCCTGGTCTTTCCGACTATCTGGCCCTCCATAGGGATCTTCCATTAAAAGCTTTCTCAGTTTCTTCAGTTTTGGTCGGCATCTCCTTAATTCCCAATAGTTATTGGAGAAACCAGCGATCTACAAGAAAAAGCAAAGACTCTTAAAACATTTTAATATAGCATTTCGATTCAAAGCAACTTACCAAAATTATCACAAAACGTGGTAATCTCATCAGTGAGAACAAGTGCTTCAGAAGGGTAAAATACAAGAAGTTTTAGAGAATAAGAAAGTAGAGAATTAAACAAACAAAAGCCCAGAAAGACACACCTGTGAATGAATAATATTACAAGATGCTTGATCTGCATTCAGCTGTTCTGGAGTTTTGCAGCCAGGAACAAACAGCAGCATATTTGAGGTATCTGCTATTTTCATGTCATAGGTTTTATCTTTGCTGCACAACACTGCTTGCTCATCCTTTTCACCACGGATTACTAGGCTGGAACAGAAACAACACAAAAATAAAGATGTATTTTTACTGCTATTTCAGAATGAATAGCTATTAAACTTGTCTGATATTTTTTTGTATTTATACATTGGTAAGGAAGTTATAAAATGCGGTTCTGTTTGGTAACAGCAGTCACAGCATGCCAAAACAGAAAGATGTAGTTGTCAATTAATCTAAAATATCTTAACTATGTTTTCTCCTTTCCTTTTTGAGTTTTCCCTCTCTGAAAGACAATTCAAGGTATCTACGCAGATCAGTTGTGAATCACCTCATCTGCCTATTCACACAATCCCCCCACGCACTGATTAAGTGTTGTTTAAAGCCTGAACTAGTTCACTGATCTTTGAAATTAGATTACAGCTACAGTTGTTCTTTAATGTGGACTGAAACTGGCTAAATATGAAACAACAAAGTAAACACAAATTCTGTCTATTGTGCAGCACCCATCAGATAATCCCTTCCCAATAACATGTATGTTTTCTTGCAAGTAATTCCAATCAGGAAAGAAAACCACCTTCTAGAGCATTTCAGGAGAAAGAATACAAACCCTCCTCTCCAACTCACATACCTGATTAAAAAGAGATTCTTAATGAGGATATGGTAATACCACAGCAGGGGAATATTCAGGTCTTCCCAACTATTTGAGAAATGTAACTATTCTCGTTATAAAGAGTTCTAATACTGTCCCATTTAAATGCTTTTATTATGTCACTGGCATTGCAGCAAAGGTAAGATTTTTAAAAACGTATCAAAAACTTACCTAGAATCTGCTCTAGTCCAGAGCTAGATGCCAGGCAACCACCCCATGAAATGCCTATGCTAACACTGTACACCCTTTGCTGTTTGTCTCACAAGCACCCCGCCATCCACCCGATCTCAACAGCTCCAGCTGGAAAATCTCAAAGTCAGTGGGGTTCTTCTAAAGACATCATCTTTTTTCCTAAACCCAGATTGTTTGGCCCCTATATTCACATGCCTGATGAGAAACTCTTCTCAGTTTTGGCTAAATGTCTCCTTAGAAGCAATTTTTCCATATGCAAATAAATAAATGAATAAAACACTTCTTAGGTGTTACTAGTGTACTCTTCCGTGTAACAGGAAACACGCAAACTGTTTTAGAAGAATAGAAGTCTGGAAAAGGCCACGTTTAAAAGCCATCAGTTAAAGATGGAACAGCACAGCCCTGCCCCATCTCCATCCTCACGCACAGCGGGCCGAGCGATAAGGGTGAAAACTCCCGTCTACCGCCGCGGGGCGGGCTTGCCCCGCTCCCTCAGCCTGGCTCGGGTCGCTGTCCCGGCCACTACGGCAGCTGGGCCCCAAGAGACGACGGGGTGGAAGTTACCACCATCGCCAGGCCGCGCCGCTTCTCGCCTCGCCTCGCCTCAGCGGACAAGTCCCACCGCTCCCGTACCTGCATCCCGCCTCGATCTCTGCGCAGAGGCCCGGCTCCAGCTGCAGCAGGCAGCACTCTCCGGCGGCCGCCTGCGGCCCGAAGCTGAGGCAATGCACGACCGGCAACAGCTCCGCCGGGTTCACCTTGGCCGTCTGCAGCGTCGCGTCTACCTCCGCGCGGGTCCGCATGGCGCCCGCCGGGCCCACCCGTTCCGAAACCCGCGCCGCAGCGTTATCCCGCCCCACGCCGAGGCGGTGCCTGTAGCGGCAAGGGGCGGGCCGGCGCGGGAGGCGGGGAGGCGGGCGCACGGGTTGGGTTGATTCTCTGGTTGACTGCCATTCTCCTGGCCGTGGCCAGCGGGGCGGGCGGTAGCACCCTTGTATAAAATACAACAAAACCAGACCCGATGTATGAGTCCCTACCCATCTCTGAGAGAGGCAGCACCCTCTGGGTACTTCCTTAAGACCAATGCATGGAAGCAAGGGTGAAGAGAGGGAGGCCGACTGCCTGAGCCACCGTTGCAGTGTGGAAGTGAGTGGAAAGCACCCACCAGCATCACCCATCTCTGCTTCTTCTGTCACCACAGGTGCGGGGATAGCCTGACCAAGAGCAAGTATCTGACAGCGCTCGTTGGCACATGGTCCCTTAGGAAAGGCTCTGCATAGTCTCCATGAAGGGGTTCATGCTGTGGCCTGGCCTAGGGTATGGCAGGGGTGAGTAAAAACCACAGGCAGGTGTGATTGTTGCAATGGAAATAGTCTGCAGGTCAGAGCTTCAAGAGGAAATCTGCTGACATTTTTAAACCATAAGTGAAACATGAAGCAGAGGTTCAGAAGACAACAGCTGGGTACCACTGGGAATCAGTCCTCTGCAAAGATGCCTCTTCCCTGTCTTGTCCAGGACATCCGGCTCCCCAGATGCCAAGAGTTCTTTCTGCTAATGCACCTAGCTGCCCTAGCAGACAGCTAGGACCAGCACAGGCTAACAGCTAACAAATATGCATTAGCTAATAAATAATTACTTTGAGCTCCAAAGTGGTGTGTATCAATTTGCAGAGTCTCTCTGTGTTTGGTATAAACCTGCACCGAAGGATCCAGACAAGGAGGTTGTACCACGTTTGTGCTGGAACCAGAAGCAGGAGCTGTTGGGATGGAGATGGCTTGGCTCAGTACCAAGCCCAGCAGAGAGCAAACATTGCTGTATGTGACTGAATCAGGCATTTGCCTTCAGAAGGTCCTTGGAGAACTGGAATTGGCTTTGGAGAAAACTTTGAAGTTACGAGGCAGTTACCTTTATCACATGTGCAGGGGCTTGTTCAAAGACTCAGCCATCTACCATATTTTTGTACTTTATTTCAGTTATTGGAAGGTGGAAATACAGTCATGTACACACGAGGTACTCTGACTTCAGCTAGCTTCTGCTAATGTGTAGGTGCAAAATGATATGTGTACAGCCTTATTGAGACTGTTACATTTTACTTTAATGTAACTGTACCTGCACACCTCAAAGGTAAACCAGAAAATCGCTGTTCTACCAAGTAAATGCTCACACAGTTACTAGCTGCTTAAATAACAGCTTAATTATGCTGGGTTTAATTTATACCTTAATGTGTGTCTAGTGACCTTGCATGCCTGCTTCTTCTCTTTCCTCCTTTTCATTCTGTGGGATAAAAACGTGAGATTCTAATACAGCCAAGGGACTGAATCCAAAAGGTGAATTCACAGAGTTTGTATCTTAAGAGCTCTGCCGCACAACAAAAACCCAGTGTGAAGAAAATCACTGGATGGTATTCAAGAGTTGGCACGGATGTATGGTCAGGAATATTTGTACCAGTTACTAGTTTTTCCAACCAGTTTTGTTTGTCCTAGTAGTTCTGGTTATAAATGTTTCCTAGTTTGTTTCCTAAGGAGCAGAAACATGTATGCTTGTGCTCCCTGCCATCTTTCTCTGCCTGTCCTTCACAACTCTGGAAGCTGCTGCTCAAGGTCAGGGAAATTTGGCAAGTAAAGTTCCCAGATGTTTTGTGGAAATCGATGGCTGGACAATACATTGGTGCCCTTACTTACGGGAAAGCAGCTCTGATCCATTCTGAGAGGCAGCAGCCAACTGGCCTATCAGCAAAAAACATGGACATAAATCTATAGGAAACATGTTTCATTTCTCAGGAAACAGCTTGTATTATGCTTCTGTTTTCACCAAGAATGCTTTAGAGCAGTGACCTAACTGACGAAAACTGCTTTGTGTAGGAACTCATGAGGTTAGTTTCAAGAGACATAGATGAATAATTTAACAAATTTGGATTGCAGAGAAAATTAGGAGATTCTGAACTACCAATGTTGCTGTCAATTTATAAGGAAATGCTATGGTAAGGGAACTTGGTGGGATCTTGAAATTATTTTATAATGATCAAAGAAAGAAAGTTGAAATAACCCCAAAGCTCCACAGGTAAGACATAAAACAAGGAACCAGGAGATAACATATGTTATAACAGTGCACATTACCAGTATCAGGCTCTAGTTATCAGGCAGCAGGAGGATGACTTCCCAGGTGTGATTTCAATTTAAGTGGTTGGGAGCTTTACAATAAAATGTAGTAAGAAAATTGGGCTACATGAAATGAAGTGTTTAAATGTCAAAGATATACACAATAGAAACTTATGAATGTCCTTCAAAGCATAATGAAGGTGGCTGTGAAAACAGATAATAGAGCCAGCACTCAAGAAACTGGCACAGCATCAGAGTTGAATACAGTAACACGTTATCAGCCTGGTGATAATTGCACAATTCACAGTTACAGTTCTTGGAGATTATTCCACGGGAGAGACACAGTTTGATTAAAGCCTCACAAACCTTAGTTCAAGGATTTTTTTTCATCTGAAATGCCCTCTGCAATGTTGAAAATTAGCATGTATGTTACATTTCCTCTTCATCAGCCCTCTTCATTAGGGATTGTAACAATAGGACAAGGGGTAATGGGTTTAAACTAAAACAGGGAAGTTCAGGTTAGATATAAGGAATTTCTTCCCTGTGAAGGTGGTGAGGCACTGGAACAGGTTCCCCAAAAAGTTGTGAATGCTTCATCCCCAGCAGTGTTCATGGCATTCACATAGCTTGAATAATAGTCTGGTCTGTCTCCAATGTAAGAACTGGGGAATACCACTGAAATTAACAGAAATTTATGGATAACAGGAGAGAAGACCTTTCTATAAAACACATTGTGGAACTTGTGAGATTTGGTGAAAGTCAAGATGAGTGTGATCCACAAAAAAGTTAGATAACTTCATAAAGGTTGCATGTGCTTGTCTCTGCTAATTACAGTGTTTAGGTTTTAGTTGTAGCTCAGGACCCTAAACAAAGTCAGATTCCCTAAACCATCAGAGCACGCACTCTTCTGCTCTCCGTTGGAGTTAGTTATTGAGTTAGACTTATTTCTTTGTTTATTTTAATTTTTTTTTAATTAATAGTTAAGATAGCAAAGCAGTGGCTTGCATATTCTATGTTTCAGACACTGAATCGTTTGTAATCTCATATCCCAGTAAAACCATCATACCTGATCATGCCAGCCAGCAACGAACCAGAAAGCAGGAGATAATGAGTCCAAGACTCAAACAGGGAAAATTTTAGCCAGTTACTAGAATAGCCAGATAGCTCATCCACCACAGATGAATTCTGTCCTGTCACTTTTAATAAGCCAACAGGGAGATACAAAACTGTTATATTCAAGTTAGGAGAAAACAAATAGTCATAATCAAACCTAAATACTTGTGTAAACTCTACAATAGCTTGAATTATCTCAGTGACATAAAATCGGCTCTGTGCTGGAAACACTGAAGAAGAAACACTCGAAGCTGGAAAACACATGCCAGAATAGCCAGGGCACAAGCACTATCAACACAGTTAGGAAGTGACTGAGAATTCTGTGGTACACTGGTGCAACAAGCGAAAATCCAGGTGCCCAATGCTTATGAGGCAGCTAGCACTTGGATACCCATTTCGTTGTTATGTCATTTCTCTACAAGGACAGCACATGTAATTGCAAATGTAGCCAGAGATCAGCCATGTCACACTGGTGTAAGTCATGATGAGGTGATAAGGTGGGGTAGATCTGAACAAGCTGATATCCAGCCTACATTCATAACATCTCCCAGCTTCAGCCAATCAGCCAGGACATTCTCAGCTACAGAGCACATCCTCACAGTATGCACACTGGTGCAGTGGGTGGGAAGGTGCTACAATTTCTGTCAACATCAGCATGAAAGAGCAGGACATCGTCAATTATAGGGACACCATTCCCTTCTGGGCTTAGACTATATGACAGGTGTGCATGTCATGTAATACATGAGTACATCATTAAAATCTTTTGGGCCATCTACATTTGCTGGATAGATCCCCAGAGTGCTTCTAGAATAGCCACAGCACATACTGTGGTTCAGACACAGCTGATCTTGCTGGTTGGCAAAACTAACAGCAATACTTTACTGTGGGCCCTAAAATGTAATCACATAACACACCAGGTATTACTAAGGCCTGTGCCTAAAGCATGAATGTTTCTGTATCTGTTGGATTTTTGATATTTTCCTGTGGACATCCTAACCATCTGATTTTTTTTCTCCTTCTTCTGAATATTACAGCTTGTCTTGAGGCCAAACATTTTTCCGTTGTAATCACTGTGTCAGTGCGCAGCTGGAATTCTTTCTTACAGCCCTGTGAGTAATGATCAGTAGTGAGTGTATCACAAGGGATATCATATGCTAAGCTATAACTGGCACAACAGAAGTAACTTTCTATTCATTGGATGTATTGGCCTCTCAGATCTCCAATTACTCCTGACTCAGAAAATAAATTAATTACCTGTACAGTTAGGAGAGATCTTTGTCCTTTCATCTTCTCCCACCTACCTGCTGGAGACTGGGTCATCAGTTTTGGTGCAGCCTTTACCTAACAGAATTGCCTTTCTCCAGGAAATTGGTAAGTGGGTGATGAGACTGCTCTCATCATTAACTGCTTCACAAGAGATGCTGTGTGAGGCTTGAGGGGAGGTACCTCACTCTGGAAAGCTAAATGAGTTTCCTCCTCAATTTACTAATTTGAATGAGAGAAACATCAAAGGCAATTAAGAAACTTAGAAATCTTTGATTAAAAATTCTGTGCAAGTTTTGTTCCTGGGGAAATAGGCACTGGGGTCTGACAAATTGGGTTATAAGAAAAGCAGAGGTGTAGCTGATCCTGTTCCATGGTGGGCACATCCAGTAAGTGGGTCTCCTGGGGTG